GGATGAGGCTAAACAGATAAACAGGATGGGGTACCGTGTAAAGGAACAGTCCAGCAGGCATCAGCTGTGTAGCTGAGTGATCATAAGGTCCAGTGAACAACAAAAGGTAAGTCCGGGAGCAGTTCGTAGGCTGCTACAGCACAGGCGAGCAGGTGGCACGGCTGTAGATTGCGCGTGCTAGCTGGCCGGGACTAGCAGATGGATCTTCGTGGTCATCGCAACGGGAAGCCTGTTCAAACCACATCAGACGATTACGTCGGCAGACCAGTCGTGATGGATCGGCGGGGCTCCGTGTCGACACTAGGAGGTTCCATCCGGTTGACAGAGAGGTAGATAGCTGGGAGATGGGCCTGGCTCAAGGCTAGCTCAAGGCTAACTGGTGCGTCGGGACAGTGGAGATTAGCCAACAACAGCCATTCGGTTGCTGCTAGCTAGTTGCGATGATCCGGTGTTAAGGTCCAGTGATTCAGTGATTCCGGCAGAAAATCCGATATGCTCTGGGTCGATAGCACGCTGTGCAGACTGGCCGATAATTGTCCAGGCTAGAGTTGGCTGGTAGGTAGTGCAGGCCACGGACAGTGTTGAAGACCGCTAACGGTGGCTAATAGCAAGTAGCTAGTTAGCTGGCTAGTTTCAGCCGTAGGTTCTTGATAAAAATAAAGAAATAATACAATCCGTTCCACATTGGGTGAGGCGGGTTGCAGGAAAGTATATTTAGTTAAAGGATGGAAAGTGAGAGAGAAATATATACAAAAAAATACAACAAAATACAACAAAACAGGCTATTTACACGAGGACACAACAGAATACACGACCGTACTGCTACGCCATCTTGGATCAAATATATTGAGCCAGGCGTCTATTTCCTTAATGCACACAGATTTTGCTCATTTGCATAGTTAATTGTTTAATTTCAGGATTCACTTCCAGCATTTTACTACATTTATTTATTTACACACTGTGTCATGTTTTTTTTTTTGTCTTATTATGCCTCTATGGCTAGGTTTCCATCCAATTGGCGCCAGATTTTCATGTGAATATAAAATAAATGGCATAAAGAAAATATGTAAATTTTCCCACCAGAGGTGTTTCCACCAAACAAACTTCTTGCTGAAAAAAATCAATGCAGATAAAAATCTATGTGCGATGACATAGTGCACACAAAATGTACTTTTTCGCTTACGTTTTCATGTACTGAATAAAAATCTAAAGTTCAATATGTTTCCATCTAATTTTCAACTCTACTGATAGTTTTGTCACAAAACTGTTGTGTTAAATAACAAATGTGCCTACTCTGGTCTTGGCATGTGTGCTCTAGCCAACCACTCGCAAATAGAGTATGGGTAGGCTGTGCAGATAGGATAGTCTACATGATGACATTATTATGGATAAGAGCGAGAATAATTTTGGGGGTCAAATGGCAGTCAAGCGTTGATCATCATGTCACCGGAATAAGACCCTCAATATTCATTGAAAAGGAGCATCAAGATCACTGTGCACTTTCACCACCCTGTGAAGTTCATCATAACTTATTTCATCGGTAGCCTATACATTGCATGGTTTCCACAGTCTTAGTGGGAGGACCACACACCATATCATCACTTGACTCCAAGTTTTACTTCGATATGATGGTTATTATAACAATATATGCGCATAAAGGCGTTTCCACTGCCATTTCTCGCATAATTAATTTTAATAAATGATTCGTTGGCATACACTACCGTTCAAAAGTTTGGGGTCACTTAGAAAGTTCTGTGTTTTCGAAAAAATAATCAATTATTTTGTCCATTAAAATAACATCAAATTGATCAGAAATACCGTGTAGACATTGTTAATGTTGTAAATGACTATTGTAGCTGGAAACGTACAACGCTGTGTACTACTCCCTTCACAGAACTCTAACCAGAATAGAAAGAGAAGTTGGAGGCCCCGGTGCACAACTGAGCAAGAGGAAACACCAGCCTCAACGTCAACAGTGAAGAGGCGACTCCGGGATGCTGACCTTCTAGGAAGAGTTGCAAAGAAAAAGCCATATCTCAGACTGCCCATCTTAGTCTTTTCTTTTTATTGGCCAGTCTGAGATATGGCTTTATTTTAATGGACAAACAAAATGCTTTTCTTTCGAAAACAAGGACATTTCTAAGTGACCCCAAACATTTGAACGGTAGTGTATATACAATTTTACCGAAACTTCCTATTTCCATCACAGCTGTCTTGTTGTTGTTATTTATACGGAATGACTTTACTCGCATAGAAACTGTGGATAGAAAAATATATATATTTTCCTTGACAGAATAATTATACTCCACTTTGACTGTGCATTTTCAGCAGTTCTTACTTTCGCCACTATAGGGCCTGTACTTCTGAAGTTGTTGACTGTTTTTGTGCTTGCCAGTTAGCTAGCAGTTCTCAGCTGTTAGCAGCCAATGGCTGGCAGTTTCATACTGGCGATAAAATCGGATGATTGCCATAATATTTTAGAGTCATTACTGAATTATTTAATGTAACAAATCAAACATTAAACCTCGTAAACCATTCATGGTAATTCATGGTAACCCTGTAAACAATTCATTTAGACCCAGATTTATTTGAAAAAAACCTTTATTTGAAATGTGTGCCATAGCCCAGCTATTAAAAGGGACATGCGGCTATTTGAGACTTTAATTGAAGTTTTACGGTATATTTTTTATGTTGATATCAAGATGCCTGTCAATGTCATATTTTGGTTGTTATCTAGTTTCTAAAATGACATCTAAAAAAACATCCTTTTATAATCAGTCCTTTGGCTCCGATGGATTTGATATGCTGTTTGAATATGTCAAAGAACTGTGGAGGAGAGGGGCGGCTGTTCGGGGTGTGGCTGGGTTATTATGGAGCAGTGTTGGTTCTGGGCGATGGCCCCAGTATTTGGCTGCAGTTGTGGCCTGCTCTGCATGTGAATGCCTCAAGGGCACATCAGGCAAGGGGCCAGTGGACTGCAGCCCTAACCCCCCCTTTAGATACATAAGAAAACATGCATGAACGCACATACACACACTCTCTTTCTTATGCTTTCATCTGGAGATGACAACAGAGAGCGGCGTAATGGCTCTACCTCCTGGAACGTCAGTGCTGGCTGGCTGGTGACACATGCAGTCCCTGGCAGCCCATCACATGCCCACGTCAACAGTGAGTGATGGGAGCTCCGCCAGACAGAGTCAGGGGGCCTTTAAATCCAGACTAAATCTGAATAACTTAAGTATATTGGAAAACATGCGAGGACTATTACGTCTGAAGTGAGGTCAAAGTGTTTAAATGTGCAAGTCAGAATGATCCCTACGGCAGGAACATACTGTATGCATTCCCACTTATACTCCTGGCACTGTCTTACTGTAAGTGAGAGGAAAAGGCAAGAACATTTTAAAGTTGAAGTGAGTAACACAGGTTGTGTGCCGTGATGGAGTGATATGAGGCCAACTGTCAAATGGAAGAAAATTACAACCAAAATAACTGTAGCTTCAAATGTTGCTGTTAGAGCAGTAAAACTCTCAAAGTGTTATTTAACAACTTTTATCCACTCGTTTGATCAAACCGAGTCCTCCCACACATTAAATACTAAATTAAAACCACGACATCAAAGAGGGTTTGATTGCACATGTATTTAGAATCAAAAGATGTTTCGTCCCCAGTTAATAAATACACTTATGACCTGTTGTCCAAAAAAAGAAAGCAATTTCTGAACATATTTACTTCATAAATAAAATTAGACAAGAGATACTTTACATATTTCGGGGTACGAAAAGTGAAACAGAACAATATCATTTTATAAATTCAAACACGTGAAGAAGCACCAGAAGTTTAAAGTGATAACATTGATGTCATGCCTTAAAGGAATACTGCGAGATTCTGTCAATGAATCTTTTGACTTACCCAGAGTCAGATGAACTTGTGGATACCATTTTTATGTCTCTGCGTGCAGTAAGAAGGAAGTTAGAGGTAGTTTCGTGATCCAATGCTAACTAGCTTTAGCGCAATGACTGGAAGTCTACAGGTACAGTAGCATACACTAGCATACGCTCTGGGTAAGTAGAAAAACTGAATTGCCAAAATCTCGCAGTATCCCTTTAGGACTTCTACTAACAGGGGAAATTTGGCAAATAATATATTATGCTTCAAAGGGGTACACAGATAACGCAAACTTTGAAACTAAAGCAACCCTGCCACCACATGCTGTACTTTGACCGCAAACATTACATTATTCGACACAATTAATAAATTTTATTTTGAAGTATTTGTGAGAGAGGTTTGAGGTCAAGGGGGTGTATGCAATAGAATTGCATTTTGTCTACTACCATGGGAAAATGTGACAGAGTTCACTCCGATAGGCCTACTTACTGGTGCGTGACACTATGTTGGGACTAAAACATTGGGTTTATCTTTAACCAAGGGGAAAACTCACTGAAAACTTGAATAGTCATTCCACAGCATCTCAGTTCAATGCAGGGGAGGAATTCAATTGCCCAGAGGGCAACATTTGGCATGGAACGTCATAATTATGTCAGTTTCTGCTTATAAACTGGTTTTGTAGACGTCAGATAACAAAATTACAAGTTAAGATGTATTTTTAATGACAACATCAAGACATATGGGAAAGATGTCCTATTTTGGTTACAATTTAAGTAAGTAACCAAATTACAACCAGTTCAATACTTATTTTTCTGGTCGGTAAAAAGACATTGAAACAACGTCCTTTTATAATCAGTATACAACTTGACTAAGGCATAACAAAAGCTGCCAGCCTGACGTCATTGCAACGAGTTTTGCTTGCTGGGCCTGGGTTCTCATGGGCACAGTAAAGTGTAACAGAGCAACCTGTGTTATGGGGAATATCCTAACCCCTATGTCAGGCACAAAAAATAAACAAAAATAAACTGTATGAGGAGGAATCAGTTCATAAGTCCCACATACACTCCATTATTGAGACACTAGGATTGGTCTGTCTGTATGTCCGTTACGTACGGTCAGCTCCCATTGGTGATGATCACCGATGTGCCCTTGTGTCCTTGCATCTGGTCGGCCTGCATCCTCATGTGTGGCACCATGTCGTACTGGGCCCCTCCGCAGCCCAGCCCCGAGTAGCTCCTCAGGCTCTCCGCGTCATACAGGTGCTCCAGGGAATAGCCGGTCAGGGCGTAGGCAGCATGCCTGTCCAGGGGCTGCATCTCCTGGGCTGGGTAAAGCATTGGGCTTCCCTGCTGCCCTAGAGGGTGGTGGTGGGGCGAGACGTCCGTCTGACCCTGCAGGTAGTCTTTTGAGACAGACAGGCCTGACCTGGGGATCCCGTCGGAGCTGGGGCTGCTGAGGCACGACAGAGACACCGGACTGGCTGTGTTGTTGTCGATGTTGCCGTGGGAACCCAAAACCTTGCCGCCATCATCGCGGTGATTGAAGCGCTCGGAGGTGAGGGTGAGGTTGATGCCGCTGGCGACCCCCGGGCCACGGCACACCACGCCAGGCATGGTGGCCTGAGGGAGGGGCAGGGAGGAGGGGGTGAAGGAGCAGGGGCTGTGGCTGTTGTTGGAGAGGCCCCCCACTGGGCCCAGGGCGTCCAGTGGCCCCTTGTGCAGCTGCAGATGGCTCTCTTCCTCCTTGATCATTTGCTGCGTGGCATGGATCAGAGTCTCCATCTTGCTGGGCTCCTGAGGGCTCGCCCGGAAATGGTCGCTGCCAGTGGAGCCGCCGCCCCCTTCTGGTGAGCTGACCACGCTCTCTTCGTCCCAGTGACCCCTTCCTGTTAGACAAAGTGGCAACGTTTAACTCCAAAGTTAAAATCTCAAAATGTATGTAATAATAATACGCCACTTAATCAACAAAACTCTTTCAGCCATCTCAAACCCAAATGTACATACTGTTATGATTTTCACAGTTCATGGATTTATTGCATATTTATGTAATACCCATGTGAGTTAGTGCCTATGACCGCTATTAACCCATAACAGTCTAAGCCCTGCCTAAGCTATATGGAATTGTTTTAAGACGGTCATACGAAGGATCATTAAGGTATTTGATTTATAATTGTAAGACCCCTTGAAGTATCCCAAAAAAATCTAAAATCAATTATTTGATGAAAACAAAATGTGGGCCTTACTGCTATTAGCCAATACAAACACATTAAATAACAGATTCACTACATGGAACAACAGACAGTCCCCCAAAATAATCTAAAGGAAGTTTGTTCTGAAGTGTATGTCCTATATCTGAGCGATATAAGAAAGATCAGGAAACATTTGTTTTTCTTTTTTGCATGTATTTAACCCCTTATTTTTGGCACTCAACATGGGGGACCTTCAGATGAGTCTTGTGACGAGTCGTACTAGAGCAAAACAACCAACACGCACGTGATCATGCGAGTCTCCCCTTTCCACAAAGGTGTCATATTAGTGTGTAGCCCAAACTGTTTGGACGCTACAGACAGAAGTTGGCAGATCGGCTGTCCCGACTTCAGACGAGTCCCAAGACACTTGTGGGGGTAGGATGAAACAGAGAACACCATCGTGTTTGTGAGGGTTTGTAGGCCAAACCGTTCGGACGCTACAGACGATTTTGTGAGAAGACTGATTCTTGGGATGTCTCATGGTCTGACAAACACCGCTCTAGCTCTGTCACCTTTCACCGCAGATGCGGAAGTGCGACATCAGGGGGATGCAGTGGTTTGAGACGCAGCCCATGCAGATATCTCTAGCTTAAACTGACATATTTTTATGGGGATGTTTTTGTTATGCCAATTTGATTTCCACTTGGGCGCAGACATCGACTCTAGGGGGTTTTAATACAAAATTGAAATATGACTGGAATGGAGGACTACATTTTGTAATATACAGACAGATTTATTCATTCATCCACATGACCTAACTAGCACCTGTTTCAACTATTGTTTGCACAGTACGTGTGAAATGGTATTTGATAATATGCATACAACTGAACAAGTCATGTAATTAAGTGATAATGCCCTCGAAGCCGGTGTTTGGAGGAAATATTGGCATGGGTGTTGTTAGGTCCGAGACGAAGTCGAGGGCCGGCAATCCATGCCAATATATCCTCCAAACACTGGCTTCGAGGGCATTATCACTTTTATACAACGGGTTACCAACATATTCAAATAATGATTGATATATTTTCATTCAAAACGTTATTTTGATTAATTTAATCATACTATTTCATCCTTCCACAAGATATAGTCTTGACACAAATCTAGGGTTGCTACCCAAGCCGGCTGGTCGTTCGTTCTATTGGTTCGGTTGCTAGAGACATGACCCAGTCGTTCAGTCTTTTTGTTCTGTATCTATGGACGCGACCCAGTCATTCATTCTAAATGTTCCATTGCCACACTGGCTGGCAACGTTTTTATCCCTTGCTTGCTATCTAGCCAACTACGGCTAATTTACAGTCACGTCAAACAGTGCAGACAGAATAACAACAGTAGCTGCATTTTCATTTATTTAAGCTGTTTTCCAGTGACATTTATTTGGATACATCCATAACAATGAGCTAATGAGGCGCAATTTCACCTGGCATTGAAAATCTGGTCTCTCGTCAGGACACTGTGGTTCAGAGGAGCTGGCCAACAACACAGCTAACACAATCACGTCAAACTGAAGCTGGAAAGACTGCAAACTAGCTGCACTTCATTTAGTTTTACCTTTTTTCAATGGACATTTCTTTGTATAAATCCATAAAAATGATGCCAGCTGATTCATGATTTCAACTGGCTGAGAAACGCTGCATGCCTGTCTGTCTCCTCCCGACTCCCGACCCCTACACGTTAATTACTATGGAACAGCTGGGGATCGAATTTGAATATTGAAACAATGTTGCAAATGTCGGAAAGACAGACAGCAAGGTTTATACAAATCTCTGCCGTTGAAAGCTAAATGTTAGTCTAAAAAAAATGTGAGATAATGTCTAGATTATAAATCCCTAATAGACAGAGCATTCCTGGCAGCAGCACTTTTGTGAGTTGTCTCAGTTTGAGGACATGAAAGGTGAAATAACTTTTCTTAAACAGTGGGCAATTATTGCACAACAGATGGTAACAATCGGCATACTGGCAAGAAACAGTGTAAACAACTTGACATTGTCCATAATGCCCTTGGCCTATTCAATAAAGGAGCTACGAGGGAAAAGTGACATTTGATTATTTTCGAACCAGATGGCGGTGGCTGTGACCCTAACGCCTCACCATGGACCACGCTGTGGTAGGAAGTGAGGTCGTAGCCCTCGCCGTTCTCCAAAGATGACTTGGGCAGGGAGAGGACGGAGCGCGTTGCGTCCCACCAGGCCTCCCGTCCAGATTGGGGAGCAGCGCCCAAGAAGTAGCGGCCAGCCTGGCAGCGGGCACCGCGGTCGCAGGCGGTAGCAGGATGGTGGGAGTGGGTGTGGCTGTGCGTGAGGTCCTCCTCAGAGAGAGCCAGGCCATAGCAGAGGGAGCCTGAGTCGGGGTAGAGTCTGTAGGCACAGGCACCGCCCTCCGCTCCCTCCCCTTGGTCCAGCAGCTGAGGGGAAGCAGATTCTGTCACAGGGCTGCCTCCCCATTGGCTGTCCTGGTCGGACTCGGAACGCTCGGGTTGAAAGGCTGAAAACTGGAGAAAAGTTGAAAATGTTTGGAAACTAGAACTTGGAATATACAAGGTTTAAACTATGTATTCAAGTAGTAAAAGGTGGTTTTACTCCATCTCAATCTTCTGTGACGTTTAGCTTAAAGACATATCAAACTGATTATTGATGACGAATGTCGGACACTAGTCATGTATTCTGGTCTGTCAAGTCACAGTGTGCCCTGTTTCTGGTGCATGTATTTCATGATACTCATTTGTTACAGCACCTTGCCTACAACAAGCAGCACATTTGTATCAGAGGTGTATCACATAATTGTAAGGATGCACCATCTCTCTTTATGTCGGTTGTTTTATCTGAACCGGGCTTAAGAGAGCATGGGATTTCGGGGCTAAGGGAGAGAAAATCAGACCTGTTCTATTCTTAACAAGTACACCACACAGGTACCAAGTGTCTTACCTGCTGTGGGTAGGGAGACACTCTGACTTTGGCCTTGTTGTGTGTCACACGGGATTTGGTCCCCTTCCTCTCCTCTGTACTACTCGGAGGGCTGTTGTAGGGGAACGCTGGCTTGCTAGGGGTCATCTGGTCCAAGGACAGCTGCATTCCCTTATACTCAGTATCTCTACACACACAGACACAGACGAGAGCGAGCACATTAGCAAAAAAAAAGGAACTCCAGCACAATAGTAATCCAGAATACTCCATTAACAATTCAATGGATCCCTCAGCTAACCTTTCGGTCAATAGACCTTCATCAGGGTTTAACAGAGAGGTGTGACTTGCACACGTAGTGAGCACATTTAAAACATGTTACTTCACATAATTATTGTAATACAGTATATCAAATGATGTACTATAAGTAATTTCTCCAATGTATATACCATTGTCTCTGGCAATATTTACTATTGATAGTGAGTGAGACATAATTCACTAACACCTTCTTTCGAGTTTTGATTAATACATTAATGGTATGACAGTTAGAAATGAAAAGGTTATATAAGATAAGCTAGGTTGAGAGATTAACCCTCTCATTTTTGAGAAACACAACCAACACCCTAAGCAAAGTTAATGATTCATTGCTACAGCACAAACATTGTCAGAACACACACGCATTGCACACACACACAAATTACAACCATTCCCATAATGTCTACACCATGCCTGTTGTGAATCTACTCCTTCAGTCTCATCTTACATTCTCTTGAAGTGAAAGCGTACCCCGACACACACACACACACACACACACAACCCCCTCCCAGATTGAATAACATAACATTGACTATTCATTTGTCAACTGTATGTACATATCATATAATGTATCCACCATCTTAGCATTATAACCCACTGCCCTGGGAATGAACTCTATCAGACTTCAACGTCATGAAACGGTTCCTGTGTCAAACGCTCTGCAAACATGGCCCTATTCTTAACTTATCACATCAGCAGTACGTAATACCAGCCCGTGGCATTTTAAACCCCTGTGCCCTGTCTCTGACCCCACTCACCCGGTCGCTGTAATATGTTTCTTTATATGACCCGCTCTTTATGTGTATGGCACCTTGCAATGGAAAGGCAATATTTGGATAGTCAGTGTTTTGTGAAACATAAGGTGTGTCCCAAAGTAGTGCACTATAGAGAATAGGGTGCCAGTTGAAACACAGACAGAGTTATTGCTCTTGCAGTTACAGTAGCGGTTCTGCATCCTATGTGTCCTCTCGGTGACCTACGCTTGAGCCAATAGTGCTGCTATAGGCTTTTGTGCAAACTCAGATGTGTTACCTGAATTCCACCTGGGGGTCAAAGTCAGACCACCTCACATCTGAAATATGCCACTGGCTCTCCATCCCAGAATCAAGATTTATTCATGGAATGATGGGAACTGATGGATTAAAATGCTGTAGGTTAAAGTAATGGAATGGCTTTGCTGGTCTAGTGTGTATTGTGAAATTCAGCAGTATTTGAAAGGTATTTTGTGTGTATTTACTGTATGTTGGTGTCCTACTGACTGTATCTAACAGGCTGGAATTCAATCAAACCAGTGCTGAGGGGAAAAAAGTGTTCCATCTGCCGCAAGAATACATAAATTGGTCATCTGTAGACCATTTTTACATTACTTTTAGACCATTTTTAGAGGGAGAAACCAATTGTAACTCAATGTTACGTCAATCAAAACATGTTTCATTCTGAATACAAGCTATACATGCAGTATGAATACACTAAAGAAGCCTGACTCCTTATTGAGTTGTATTTGTGTGTGTGTTGTGGGTTGCGGTAAATACATAACAATAGTAAATACACAAGAGTAGAAATGCAGACGGCCTAAACACGTGCACACACACACACGCACACACACACACACGCACACACACACAGATTAAAGAGCTAGGTCTGGATTAACCAAACCTAACAATGAAAATCCAACACGGGCAGCAGGAATGAGATGGCTATCGATTTCCAGTTTACTGTCGTATAGATTTTCTTTCCTCAGACACAAGGTCGATTCTGAAAGTAGGTATTTTCCCCCAATGTTTATCTTACTGGTCTGAAAGGTCTTATCGCACCCGAAAAAACATGTTCTGTGTAAAGTAGGGTGTAGTATTACAGATAGGCCATAAAGGGAACGAACTGAGAATGTGAGAGGTACACACAGCCCTACCCACTATCGGTCTAGCTGGGGTCATGAACTAAGTTAGTTGGTATTTCACTGATCTCGTTCCCAGACACTTCCTCCCAAATGCGCGAAGAGTCTGGTGGACCAATGTGTCAAACTTGGCCTTCGTCTGCCAGCGCATAGGCATTGGCTTAATTGGCTTAATCTACCAACCAATCATCTCCCACAAAACCTTCCCCCTAACCCTCCCCTGTACGCTAGCACAGCTGTGTGATTCGTAAAAATTAAATGATGACAAATCACAGAAGGCTGCTGAGGGGAGGACGGCTCAAAATAATGGCTGGAATGGAGTAAATGGAATGGTATCAAACACATGGAAACCATGGAAACCACATGTTTGATGAGTTCGATACCATTCCATTTTTTTCCGTTCCAGACATTAATATGAATCTGTCCTCCCCAATTAAGGTGCCACCAGCTGCCTGTGTGACAAATACTTGATTTAGTAAGGTCACTCCCATAGAACTCTATGGTGACTCCCACTAATTCCAGCTTTAAATAGTTGATGTACCAGGCTTATATGTGCTGTGCGCAACAGCCTGTGGACGAGGTTAGTATTTCACTAATACCATGGGCCACAAGAAGGTCATGTTTTGTATGTGGAGATTTGTATGTTTATTCATTAAATTATTGGTTGCTTCTGCTCTGACAATGCCATCCTAACTGCCCCTAGGCGAGTCATAAAGGCAAATCCAATTCAATTGAATTAATAATAATTATAATAATTATAATATTTATTATAATAATTATTATCATAATATTAATATTGTATATATTATATTATTGCTTTTATTTTATAGTCCTCCACAACTTCAGATGATGATGAAGTTCAGAAAGGGAGTAGCTTGAATCGATTTGAATGGAATTGAATTGAGTTTAATTGAATTGAATGAGACTCACGTAAGAACGTAGTTGACGCTGACGATGCAGTGGGGTCTGGAGGAGCGGCTGTTGTGGACAATGGTGGCGTAGCTTTGCACCCACACCCAGCCTCCCTGTTTGGCTAGGAAACGGTAGTACTTAGTGGTCACCTGGCCCTTCACCAGCACTGTGAGGATCAAAGGAGAGGAGAAGGAAGGGGGTGGGAGTCGGGGAGGAGAGGAGGGGAGAGGATAGGAGAAGAGGAGACATATCTTAGTTTGGATTGATTTGATAAAGTAAAGTAAAATAACCTAAAGTCCAGTAAAAGGTCGAGTCCGACGAGGCAGGGCCCAACCTACTGTAACTAACTCACACAGATGGTGGGCACAGCGCACGTGGAAGGTGTCACAGCTGTGGACGTGGTGGTACAGGGTCTTCTCAATGAGGTCCTGGGGCTCGTAACCAGTCAGCTCTGCCACCCTAGGGAGGGAAGGAGGGAGGGAAGGAGGGAGGAAGGGGTGAGAAGGCAAATGTTTTTTTCCTCTCTTTCAGCCATGGACTGTCATGTTTTAAAGTTCACGCTGTTCTCCCTCCATATATCATTATATGCTCAGAGTTCTATTTGATCCAAACTTGTTTTCATGCTGAGAAGGAACAGAACGTTCTGTAAAGTGGACTCCAGTGACTTTAGGTCCAGGATTCCACTTTAAGACAATAAAATATTTCAGTTTTTAGATTCAATAAGGCATCATAACACCATAAATAATGTAATATATTGTAGCATTTCATGTTAGTGAATTTGATACTGTTTTTATTCCATTAAGTTGTGGACATAAGTCCTTTAACAACACTAGTGGGAAAAAATAAATATATATATATATATATTGCTGGTTTATGCAATGGCTGGCTCATCAAAACACCTGCTGTAGGCCTGAGTTATTCAGTTATTCTCCTACATATATTATCCTTCAACCCATGCTTTATGTGTATGTATGTTTTGCTGTTGACCTACCTCGAGTCGAGGAAGATTAGCTTCATATCAAGGCTGGCTCTGAACATGAACATGTTGCTGTGCAGCTTGATCTCGGTCACCGCGCTGGGAGGCAAAGAGTGTCCCACTGCCACCAGGCCCACGTTCTGGTAGCATCCGTCATAAGGCAACATGTCCAGGCTGTACTGACGGATCTTTAGGTAACCGCTGCAGTGAATGACCTGGGGGGGGGGGGGGGTCATTCCAGAAATTATACTTACGCCTACCTTTATGCTTAATGAAGTTCAAATCAATTTGGAATAGATTAAATCAATAGCATTTGTATGCAACATAAATATAACTTTTCATGCAGCATTAGGCTATATACTTCCATTGCAAATCGTCTACCTTATATCCACCGCTGGTAAGGCCTGCGTTTCTCTTTGCCAGCACGCATTTCATCCTCAAGAAGAAAGAGCGCTCCATCTCATATTCTGGAAGAGGAGACTGAAAATATCAGTCTATTATCCAACGTACAAAAACTAATTATGTATGCGGTTTCATTCTCTCCAAGTTGGGCCTATATTCATATAGCCTACCTTGGACGAAATGTGAGTGGTAAGGCTGATGTGGGGTGAGAACTGCAGTCATTTCGTCGTGGTCGGCGGGGTGGACATATTCGTAAATACTGTTCCCGGTCAGCTCTACCTGTTAAGTATTACCTCGGTAATTAAACAGTATTAATCACTCAACCATTCAAACATAATTTCATAATTTCTAACATGAAAAGTTTTTGTAATATGGATATCACACGCTCTTAGCCTTATGCATAGCCTATAAAAAGACTCGACTCACTCGACCAAATAAAACTTGAAAAACCAAAAACACTAAATAGGCTAAGATGAATAGGCTACGACCAGGTGCTGACCTGAGAGAGTCCCAAATGGACTGATGCTGTCTCAGAGATGTACATGATCTTTCCGTCTGGCGCCACTACAAAGATGAAGCCGTCCAATGTCTGGAGAAAAAAAGACATAAATTAATGCGTAGATCAACGAATTATGAGGCCGATTCGAGAACAGTCACTGCATTTCAGTCAGATTCGTGAGATTGTAATTTTTAGTAATATCATATTTTACAGTAATTTTGCAAATATTAAATTAGTAAGCTTTCTAAATTACCTGGAGGATGTGGGATCCCACCTATCAAATCAAACGTAACATGTCTACATATATCTTAAGAAATATTATTTTCATTATTAATAGGCTATTGAAACCACCATATTTTTGCAGTGAATTTGCTATTAAATTGGTAGACTAAGCTTCCTAAATTACCTGGAGAAGATGGGATCCCAGCTCACGTCCTACATTGTCCAAAGATCTCGTTCGACTCGTGTGACCCCAAGCTTCACCCAAACCTGAAACAAAGTGCCAATATATCAGCTCCTTTTCGTAAACCATATAGTCGTGCAATAATACACATAACGCAAGTGACAATGTTTCTTTATGCTGACTTTTATTATGGCAGTTTTCTCTGTAGGCCCAAGCTTATCTATTTCAAAAATAATAATAATACACATAGCTATTTGTGTCAAACATTTTTACAAAATGCTGCAGAAAGTTGATCGAAATTAAGCGAATAATATCACAACTCTAATTGCATGAAACATATGACCTCCTCGAGGGAACCAACAAAACTCGATAACGCTAATAAATAACGCAAATAAATACAAGCAACTCTTCTCGCAACGTCATGCCAGATTGAAAATGCTAATCATACAAAAACAATCAGTGTCTGAGTAAAGACTCGAATAACCCACCACCATTTCACATTTCAATATTGCCCAAACATACCTTCGCGCTTACACAGCTCAACAACAATACACAAATTATTTGGTCAACATTAGAAATAGCTTTTGCACAGCTCATCTCCTTATTTGTTTAGAAGTCAAATCAACCCAGCTGCTGTGGAAAAAATATTGTACATTCTGTACACATGCAAAGTAGCCTCCCTTTGAAAACAACATTCAGCGTGATTTACATTGAGTTTGACGCAGTAATTTAGGCCTATAATAATGGAAAAGGAGAGTATGAGCTTATTATATATCTTTTTTTCCTCTCTTTCAGCCATGGACTGTCATGTTTTAAAGTTCACGCTGTTCTCCCTCCATATATCATTATATGCTCAGAGTTCTATTTGATCCAAACGTGTTTTCATGCTGAGAAGGAACAGAACGTTCTGTAAAGTGGACCCCAGTGACTTTATGTCCAGGATTCCACTTTAAGACAATAAAAAATTTACGTTTTTAGATTCAACAAAGCATTATAAGCGAATAATATCACAACTGTAATTGCATGAAACATGTGACATCCTCGAGGGAACAAACAAAACTCGATAACGCTAATAAATAACGCAAATAAATACAAGCAACTCTTCTCGCAACGTCATGCCAGATAGAAAATGCTAATCATACAAAAACAATCAGTGTCTGAGTAAAGACTCGAATAACCCACCACCATTTCACATTTCAATATTGCCCAAACATACCTTTGCGTTTACACAGCTCAACAACAATACCCAAATTATTTGGTCAACATTAGAAATAGCTTTTGCACAGCTCATCTCCTTATTTGTTTAGAAGTCAAATGAACGCAGCTGTCGTCGAAAAAATATTGTACATTCTGCACACATGCAAAGTAGCCTCCCTTTGAAAACAACATTCAGTGTGGTTTACATTGAGTTTGACGCAGTGATTTAGGCCTATAATAATGGACAAGTAGAGTATAAGCCTATTCTATATCTTTTTTTTCCCTTTTTCTTTTACACAATAGGCTTTTTCTTTTACAACAGTAGGCTATTTGATATTTTCACAATTACTATTATTTTTGCAAAAACGTATCTTTTTAGTCTGGCAATTTACTGTTAATAATAGCTCCACACATGGCCAGTCGAAAGTAGGCCTGCTGCATAGACACATTATTCGAAAAATGTTGATGTGAATGTAAGGATTATATAAGATATTGATATGTGATATGTCTTTGTGCATGTCTGTCTTGACTTTCTTGCATGCGAGCGTCATATTCAAATTGCATGGAGCTGCTATCATGGGTGAGAGGATGCCTTTCTTGCACTTCAACTCAGATACTATATCACAGGGGTCACAATAGGTGCAGCTTACTAATTTGTCTGATGTATTCGAGAAGCGAAGCCGCGGATTCAATGAGCATTAGGTCTAGCCTACATGTCTTATAAATAGGCCTGATAGGCAAAGAATTTGATTCACCCGGCGTTTGAAGTGTTGCTTAACGGACGTCAAGAGCCCCAAACCATAGAATCGTCGATGTAAGCAGAGAAACTTCCCACTGGGCACATACGTCAATTCATTGAAATTACCTGGAAACAACCAGTGTGTGCCCGGTGTGTTAACATCTCACCTCTCTGCTCTAGGGATATTTTTCAGATGCTTACGAGGTTTAAGACAGGCTGAGCTGTTCCCCAGTTTCAATAACCCATTAGAGGTAGGCCTACACAAATGTGCTTCTGTTGACTATTAGGCCTATCATTAGTTTCAGGGATTTCTCTGTTTTAGACTAATTTGTAACTATTGTAATTAGGCATATTGTATTTTTTTCATAAAGAACGCCTAGTGTTTAGGCTATATACCAAAACATTCATCAAATTCAATACACGCCTAATCAAAATGCTCATATAGCCAATTGATGTCAATAATAGTCCGAAATATTTTCTCCTGTGCCTATATTGGCTACTTTTCACCTATGTTTGCTACAAGCAATTGATAACTTCTGTCAACTGCTGAAGAAATAGTTAGGCCTATTTCCGTAATAATTATTTTCTTAAGGATAGATACACATAAAAAAAAAAAAAATCCTGTAATTGTCATGGTAAATGAATATTTAGTGAATATATAAACTGTATAAACTGAATACAGTAGATTACTGTAAACAACATTGCATTGCACCTGTACACAGCCCATCTGAAATTAGCCCACCCAACTACCTCATCCCCATTTTGTTGTTTATTTTGCTCATTTGCACCCCAGTATCTCTATTTGCACATCATCTCTTGCACATCTATCACTCCAGTGTTAATACTAATTGTAATTATTTTGCACTATAGCCTATTTATTGCCTTACCTCCATAACTTGCTGCATTTGCACACACTGTATATATATTTTCTGTTGTATTTTTTGACTTTATGTTTTGTTTTACCCCATATGTAACTCTGTGTTGTTGTTTTTATCGCACTGCATTGCTTTATCTTGGCCAGGTCGCAGTTGTAAATGAGAATTTGTTCTCAACTGGCTTACCTGGTTAAATAAAGGTTAAATAAAAAATAAAAAAATAAAAAATAAAAAGTGGGAAAAATTATTTTCGGACATTACCATAATACATTCTACATAAAACACTGTAGCAGGTCACTTACTGTATTTATATATATTCTAAATAGAATGCTACACTAAAAGCACAAGGCAACAAAATCAAACGCAAGAGAGAAAACATTTTAGCAAATTATCATTATATATAAATACAAATATTCTTAGATAATTGGTACCTTTTTTGTTATTTATATGCATTCATTTGTTTGTGGCCATGCTGTTTTATATTATAGAAAAAATATACAATCAGAACGGCACATCATACAAATAAATCCTTTTCCATTGTGAAAAGTAAAACAATCACACACAAAATAGGAGCTACATGTAAAACGCAGGCCCCTTGTGGAAATTAGGCGAACTGCAACATAATTTAGCCTGAATTCAAACAACTCTCCCCCTCCTCTCCCACACCCCGTACAATATATTACATACCAGTAATTGTACCGTCAATTAAATACTGTAACACATTGGTACCGTAAAACTGTAAGCCAGTTACCTGTAAACTACTGTAAAACAACAGTAAATAGATAATTTGGTACCATTAAAAGACTACAGTATTATTATTGGTACCATACAGTCTTAGACTTTTTTAAAATCATATTTCCCAGCATGCTCAACTGCAGGTAGATTTATTTTATTGTATTTTTTAATCTATGTTTGTGCATGTACATTAATTAATTGATTAATCTTATTCTACACAAAGTTCAATAAAAAAAAATTGAAACTATTATTGAAATGATTATTCCAGTTTATATGGTTTAGATAGTCTACTCCCAATATCCCTAACCCTGATAGTCAATCTGAATGCAGATTGCGGGTGAATGAAGATTCCAGCGGTTGGATATCCTAACTCTGACTGAATTCCAACAGGAATTACACATCACTTTGCAACCCAGCATAATGTGATTTGCAGGTAGGGCTTGCAAAATACTGGTAACTTTCCCAAAATTCCCAGTTTTTCCAGAAATCAGGGTTGGAAGTGTCCTGGAAACAGGAAGGAATAAGCAGGAAATCCTGAATCCTTCGACCAGGATTTCTGGAAAATCTGGGAATTTTGGGAAAGTTACCGGAATTTTGCAACCCTACTTGCAGGCATGATGTGGCCTGTAAACCAAGAGTCAGGCCACTGTATCAGGGTAAAACTAGGCATCAAAATAAGGCCTTATGAGATATGTAATGTATTGTCATAAAGAGTTTAATTGTAATGATCACATTCGCCTAGGAACTCACTTGGTGAAAGCTACAGGACTGAAAATGAAGGAACCATGTCTCTGTCACTAACAAATACAGTCATGGGTGGTAACTCTACAATTCACCCGAAAGGCAAGGCACTCTGGGAAATGTTCAAATAAGGCTTTACAGTAAAACTATTTGATAACATAAAACGACTAGATAAGCATTATTGGTACTGTAAATCAATGACAGTAACAGTAACAGTAACAGTACACCATAAAATTCAATACGGTCACATACTGTTCCTTTTTTTTACAGTAATTTACAGGTAACTGGCGGCCATTAAGGAAATGTTTTACAGTGTAGGCTAATTTATAATGTCACAAATGGTAATCAAATATAATGTTTGCTATTTCAATGACTGGTACTGTAGGTATAGTCCGATAAGATGTACAATAGTTTGATTGATTATCATGTGCACAACTAAATGGTCACAGTAAACATTTATTGTAGATTATTCTGATTAGCAATAATCAGTGATTTATAATACATAATGGCTGAGAGCTTATATGCTAATGCAAACACAATAGTGCATAGTTAGAAATAGCCCAGAGAAAGCATTCCAAATAATGGTGTTGGTTTTTGTATCAGAAGGCCTATGTCATACAATTGATTAGCATAGGCCTATTATAGTTTTTTTCATCATCAGTCATAATCAGTCACTGTTTATCATCACATCAAAGTAGCCTACCTCGTGATTTCTTGCAACGTGCACCTTTAATTGTTTACGTGAAGTGAAAACATTTCCATGTGTCCGTTCAGTTTAGGTGACCTGCGATAACACGGTCATATCACTGTTTTGAGAATGACATAGGCTGTCACATCATGATATGGCAGACTCTATAGGCCTATAGGCTACTTATTGAAAAATCAGTTTCAGTTTCTTGCAATGTCATTCCTTGCATTTGTCATGAGCTTACCTAAACATGAAACTGGCGAACTTTAGATAAAGTGTAGGTCTAGATAGCCAATAGATCCACATGTGTAGCATATACACTTAAATATATTATTCACCATGCAGTCAGTCACAGGGGTGTCATGAACCCCAGAAATCTTAGGGGGCACAAATTATGTGAGGATGGCTGGGGTGGTGGAGAATTTAGTATTTTTTTCCTGCAACCTAAAGCCATAATCATTATGCTTAATACTATGTCAAAAATATATATATATTTTTCTGCATATCTAAGCATACCGCTTGAGCTGTCTGTATCCCCCTGAATGGTGATTATGTTTTTAAAAGAAACAAAATATGCTTCTCTGCATCCCTGCTAAAATCAAAAGGAAAGATTGAAAGGAATTTGACTCTTATACATTTAGTAATTGCTTGCTTTTCTAAAGTCTACCAACCTTTCCAGCAGGCATGCTAACTTGATTGATAGTAGGGGTGTGCCCAGTACTGGAACAAAACTAGTATGTAACTAATGGAGAATTTTCCAAATAGGATTATGACATGACACACATTTATTTGTAATTATCTGATCTGAAAAAAGTCATTTTCAGCAGGCAGCACTCATCTCTCTTTCACTCAAACAATTTGAAGTGCCATGTTTCTCTAAATAACTATTGGCTAGATCGTCTGTCTGTTTATACAATGGGTAGGTCTAATCCTGAATGCTGATTGGTTAAAACCACATTCCTGCCAGTGTCTATTCCACAAGTTACCACTGGCTAAATCTATTACATTAAAATGCCTATTTACTCCGTTCCATCTGACTATGCAACACACTGTTTAATCAGCCCAGCCAGGCAATTTATAAACTTGATCTCCACTATAAAATGCATCTAGATATTATCTCACATTTCTTTTAGACTAACATTTCGTTTTCAACAGCAGAGATTTGTATTAACCTTACTGTCTGTCTCTCCAACATTTGCAACATTGTTTCAATATTCAAATTCAATCTCCAGCTGTTGCATAGTAGGCTATGAGACAGACAGGCAGGCAGTTTTTCTCAGCCAGTCAAAATAATGAATCAGCATAATTTTTATGGAAATATACAAAGAAATATCAATAGAAAACAGGTAAAACTAAACGAAGTGCAGCTAGTTCGTTCCAGCTTCAGTTTGAAGTGATTGTGTTAGCTGTGTTGTTGGCTAGCTCCTCTGAACAACAGTGACCTGACTAAAGAGCACATTTTCTATACCAGGTGAAATCGCACATCATTAGCTCATTGGTATGGATGTATCCAAATAAATGTCACTAGAAAACAGCTTAAACAAATGCAAATACAGCTACGTTGTAGTTATTATGGCTGCACTGTTTGACCTGACTGTAAGTTAGCAGTAGTTGGCTAGCTAGCAAACAAGGGGTTGCCAGCCAGTATGGCAATAGAACATTTAGAACAAAAAAGACTTAATGACTGGGTCATGTCTCTGCCAAATGAACTGATAGAACGAACAACCAGCCTGCTTGGGTAGCAACCCTAGATTTGTGTCGGGACTATATCTCGTGGAAGGATGAAATAGTATAAATAAATTCATCAAAATAACGTTTTTAATGAAAATATATAAATCATTATTTGAATATGTTGACTCCTCTCGACATCTTCTTGGGCCTAACAACACCAGTGCCAATATATCCTCCAAACACCGGCTTCTCTAGCATTACCACTTAAAAAGAAATGGGCAGGGTATACAGTCGGTTGAGCCTGCTGCAATGATTGGATTAGAACAAGCCACTCTCCCTCTGCCCTCATTTCCGCTGCTCTGTTTTACTCACTCACAGTCAGTCACTCCTCTCAGGGCACAAGTCTCCGCTTCTCCAAACATTGTGTATGAATCAGAATCCGTTGCTAGTCATTGTTTTTCAATCTAGTTATTTCCTGTCAATTTTGCTGAGGCCATATGGTTGTTTATGTCTGTCTACTTGGTGTTGTTTAGTAGGCCTACTTTGTCTGTCTGTATAATTATTCCATTGCTGACCTTATGTCTGTTGTTATGTCATGATCCAAGCCCATGCTTGCTATTATTATTTATTTTCGCCCAGGCATGTTTACCAAGCGACAGAGCATTAGAAAATAAAATGACAAATGTAGATCATGTATTTTAATTGTACAAATGTTGTGGCATAAGTAGGCCTGTCAGGAGAGAAAAGTTTTGCTACACCTCAAAAGTGAAACAATAGGCTATATCGGGAAAACGAATTAGCCTAGCTTCATCTAAATCTGTGTCTGGAATAAATGCTGGCAGTAGTAGCCAGCCATGCATTAAGCTATTTATTGTTACAGGAGGGGGTCGCAGTTCCGGAGCGACCCACTGGGTGTCATCCTCTGACAACCTTAGGCACCTCCTTCCTCACAGTCTGGACTAATCATCATCCTATTGGTGTTTCTTTATTATTTCAGTTGTAGTTAGCCTCCTGTAGCTCAGTTGGTAGAGCATGGCGCTTGCAACGCCAGGGTTGTGGGTTCAATCCCCACAGACAGCCAGTATGAAAAATGTATGCACTCACAATGTATGTAAGTTGCTCTGGATAAGAGCGTCTGCTAAATGACTAAAATATAAATGTAGTTCCTATTTTGGCTGTCAGCCTGTTTTTGGAGACTTATTTGCTCCACCTTCTTTTATCATGTTAAGTCCGTTGTTTTGTATCCTGGCTTCGGGACCACCAGTAAAGATCCTAGTTTCACCATCTCTGCCTACTGCCTGCTGTCTATGCTGCACCGCACCTGGGTCACACCTCACACCAATCCTTACAATTTATTAATCTATTTAGTTGATAATTGAATAGAACTAAGTAAGTAAATCATATGAATTTTCATCTCTTGGGGTGGTAGACCTACCTTTGAACAATGTTTGTGAATGAGTGAAGGAAGTCAAGGAACATAACAATGCGCTCCAAGGTATAGGCTTTACCAGCATTTAAAGTGCACTTCCGGGTTTTCTGATCACGGAGTAAATCTGATTAGGAGTAGGCTATCAAGTGTGATAAAACAGATATGAGTATGACTGAATATGAAGTATGAAGAGATAGCCTGAAATGGCTTATTGGTAGCTAATTATAAGGTTGGGAGGTCTTCCTAAAATTGCTAGGCGGCTGGTAGTAGCCTATTACAGAGAAACAACAAATATTAACATGTTTTTTTTTGTATTTTAAACAGGACAAATCTGCCTCTGTGTCCCCTATGGGCATGACGCATCTGTTCAGTCACACCCCAGAGGCCTAGCAATTTTCCGGAGTTCATATATTCATTTTTTTATCCGGAAAAAGCAAAAGCGGTTTGAATGGATCAATTAGGTCTACTCCCGTTGTTTCGCGCCTCAGTGATCAGAAGCGGGGCGTTTTATAATTGATGCGGCGGTCAGTGCCAGTCACACAGCACAGCAGCCTGTTGAGACCGGGGGAAGATTGTGGCTAACCGCCTTCAACGCATTTCGATCACCCTGACCCCGAAAATGGCCTAGACATGGATCTGCGATGATCATACGAACACGCACGCACGAAATTACACTAGCCTACTGTAGCAACATGGTAGCCTATTGTAGCAATAACTGGAAGCTGAAAAAACATATCGAAAGGCTAATAAGATAAAACAACAACATCAGCAATGACTACAACAGAAAGACAACAGCTGCCAGGTGTCATCGCAATATAAATATAATAGTATCATTACACAATGTAGCCTATTAACAGCTGTTATAGGCTATAACGTAGCCTAATAAACCTATGCACAATAAACATAATATACAATTATAATAGACTACCGTAATCAGTAGGCAAATGCAGGTGAAAAAATACATACCAAACAAAAAATCCAGATAAGAGATAGGCCTACAGATAAATACTAATACATATTGCCTACAGATAAATGGCAAATGGCATAGCCTATATAAGAGAACACTGCATTGTTAAAGCTTAAAATATACTTACCCTGAGGGAAGACAATTCTCATCTTCAGATAACTTGTTGTCAGTCTTATTATAGACGCTTTGTCCAGCTGCGACGTGATAGCAGAGGGTAAAGGCAACATTTTGGCTAGTTCATAGAATTCACTGTTCTCCTTTTCCCGTCTAGTCCTTGCGGCAGTTTTGGATTTCTCCTTCATTGTGTGTTCTCTCTCTCTCCCCCTCCTTTTGTTAAATGTTAGGCTATCATTCCTTTACTGTCACATCGGTCCATCAAACCCAGCATATAGAAGGATTTCCCTTTCGTCTATTTGTCATGGTTTGGCTTTTCATCTAAAACACCCTTCACGCGCGCTGTGGCCACGGTCAAGTGAAATGAGTGCGACACTTCTCAGTTACAAACTGAATCCAATGCACTTCAGACAGTTCCCGAATTCCTTCACCGAACCATGCGAAGAATGGATAAGTTGATATACCCTGTTCTTCTCGTGTAAATTGAGAATTTCTTGAAAGCACGCGCCATTAATTCTCACTCAGAATGGGAAGGGGCCTGTCCCCGGTGTAAACTGACAATACCGGCATTTCTCCATGACCTGAAAAACACAGGGCATAGCACAAGCCATAATATCATTAAAGGCCTAGCAATATATATATTTTTTATCAACAAGTAAACATGCATTGTCATCCCAAAATGCCTACTTGGAGTTTCAAACTATAGAAACTTCTGGCTATTTGCTCAACAACAACAAAAATGGATTATGCATCTGACAATGTGGCTTTATTATTGCTTTATTACAATGTGGCTGTTTGCTCATATAGTTTAATAATAATAACAACAAATAATCATATGAATAATACGAATAGCCTAATAATAACAATAATCAATAACAAATTATAGATAACCAATAATATATAATCATAAATCATAAACAAACGAATGATAAATCTACTACAATGACCGGCCTATAGAATATGGAAATATTTTAGCCTATTTTGTCGATGCTTTTCTACTTACCTCATAGAATGAAAAGATCCTCTAACTTTCACTACTCTCGCGCTGCCCGCAGGGGATTTCACCTGTCCTGAAGCGAGTTCACCACTCGAGACAGTTAGTTTAGTCCCAGCTCCTCGCGGAATTCCACCTGGATAGGCGCGCGGACCCCTCAATGCATACACTTCTCTAAATTAGGGACACAAGACGAGTGGAATTCGTGTCCAGATTTCGTCTCCAAACTATCTCAATCTCGCTCTCGAGCTGCTCAGGACCAGCCCACTGTCACTCGCGCTCTTATTGGGCAGCAAGTATCGAGACCGACTTTCTCATTGGACACGCTTGATAGAAACACACAGGAGCCCGTGTAAAAATGGGATTTGTGTGAAACGTTCACGTCTGACCCACACTTAGCTGAACCTGGAGGAAACCGTTGCCGGACGTCACTGTTTTGTCTGGCGAGCTGTATGCGCATACAGCATACAACATAATTAGCTATCCATGGGGGAATGAGTCTAGGCTAAATGTAATGGGTTTTACATAGCTAAATCAACCAGAACCATTCTGAACCGCACCAATGCACATATGCATGGTATACTTTTTATTTTATTCTATATATTTTCTAGTTGTATTTACTCCAATAAAAGATTTTCTCTCCTTTCTTTACATATTGAGCTTCTTTTTTCATGCAGCTATTCCTTACCAAACGACTTTAATATAATTAATCAATAATAAGTCCATAGCCAAGACATTACAGACGATATGTTTTTTTGAATTGATTTGGCTGCCCCTCACATTTTCGGTTGTAACTATTTTATAGGCATAGTAGCCTGTGCATGGAGTGATATAGTGCCAATCGTTCTTGGATATTTTACCTTAGGTTATTACTTATCTTATTACACAAATTCAAGAGTATTCATTTACTGGAATTGAATCAATGAATGTTTTTTTATTAGCCAAATCGTTTAAAATGTATGTTTCAAAATACGTTTGTTTTGTGCCACTGGCATTTTAAACGTTGTGTGTAAGGTCTACATGTTATACGAAAAAGCACGAAAATGTATTCATATCATACTGTTAATCGTTCTGGATAAGAGCGTCTGCTAAATTACTCAAATGTAAATGTAAATGTTATAGGCTACATTTTTATGGTGGCCTACAGTATGTATATTATTGGTTGATACATTCCTTTAAAAAAATATTAATTCGTTAATCCACGACTGGATATCAGCGATGTGTAGTCTTTTAATCTAATAACCAAAAAAAATTTGGTTTGGATTTTCCTTTGGATCACAAAGCTTGAATGTGTTAACTTATTACAAAAGTGTTGTATCATTTTATTGTATAATCGATGTCTCTGTCTTGAAATACAGCTCCGGGCTGCTGCTCTAACACTGTCAGTATATGTCCACATGTGCAGTATTACAAGCAATACGTGGTTGTCGCTACCTTAAGAGGAACGCACTAACTGGGCGGCAGGTAGCCTAGTGGTTAAGAGCGTTGGGCCAGAATCCCCAAGCCGACTAGGTGAACAATCTGTCGATGTGCCATTGAGCAATGCACTTAACCCTATTCGCTCTGGGTAAGAGCGTCTGCTAAATGACTAAAATGTAACTGTAAAAGTCGCTCTGCTAAATTACTAACATGTAAAGTCAAATTAGTAATTTTTTTCTTAGTGGCATAATTGAAACAACATATCTCACAAACCTTAGAAGCTAAATTACTTGAAGACATTGAAACAAACAACTTGCTCAAAACGTCCTATAATCATGCTCTCTCTCTCTCTCTCTCTCTCTCTCTCTCTCTCTCTCTCTCTCTCTCTCTCTCTCTCTCTCTCTCTCTCTCTCTCTCTCTCACCTCTCTCTCGCACACACACACACACATTTGAGGCCCAAATTAATTCTAACCGCCTATTTCTCACTATCTTATCCTTATCCCGGATAGACATCTCGCTTGGCTTTGGTTACGGGTGTCCAGTTTTAAATGCGAAATCCACCTGCGGCGCACGAGAGGCAGAGAAAATCATCCCAGCTGCATGTTGCGCACGAAATAGCTAAATTACGCAGTCAACCTCCGATACATGAGTAAATGTGCTGCGGATTAAACGGTTTCAGACAATAAAACAATTTAACGTAGGCCTCCTCCACGTCTTCAAGTCCATTTGAAAAACTGGATATGTCGATAAAGGAAACACCATATCTGTTATGGAGCAGGTCTAGGCCTATTGTTTTGCCAATTATGAATTAATTTCACCAAATAAAATATGTATTTGCACATGAAATGCTCTTACGCGACAACGGATCGGATGATAAAAACACAATTAATTCAACTTTCAGGTTACATTGCTCTCTAAAAGGCAATCTAATTATTGTTGTTTAACACTGCAGTGTCACACCAGCGTTGAACTGTAGACAGCGTACTGACACAACAAGCTCATCCGCGTTCTGACTGCCATGCTGTGCTATTCAAATCAAATTGAAAACTCAACTATGTTTTGCATTATAAAAATACTTTGGTAACACTTTATTTTAGGCCCACGTGGTATGATGCAGAATGCAACAACCCACATATGATACATCTATGCATTTTGAGACTAGATTTTAGTAATATGTGTTGACACGTTGAAATCGTCAAAGACAATTGATAGGATGCCTATAACCCATGTTCTCTGGGCACATCTTTTTTTTAAGGAATAGGTTGAATGTAGGCTAAGAAAAGTATTTATATGCATGATAGGGCTCCCGAGTGGCGCAGCGGTCTAAGTGCTAGAGGCGTCACTACAGACCCTGGTTCGATTCCAGGCTGTATCACAATCCGCCCGTGAATGGGAGTACCATAGGGCGGCGCACAAGCCGTGGTAGACCGTCATTGTAAATAAGAATTTGATCCTAACTGACTTGCCTAGTTAAATAAAGGTTAAAATAAATAAATGGGAATTGAAAAAATATTCTCATTGGCACTCATTTACAGCATGTCGATTTATTCCAGTTCCTACACCACAAAACCAACTATAGCCTAGATCAGAAACGATTGCGCACAATAGGCCAACATTGATCAAATATATAGGGTTAGTATGTTTGCGTTATTTGACCAACAGTGAATATGGAAAACCGTTTTACAATAAATATGGAATTTCATTAATGACAAATGATAGATTAGTGAATTTGCTTGTCCAGATGACTGTCATTGCTTGTCCATATATTCTTAAATTCCATTCCTTACTAGATGTGTGTGTATTGGGTATATGTTGTGAAAATGTTAGATATTCCTTGTTAGATTTTACTGCACTGTCGGAGCTAGAAGCACAAGCATTTTGCTACACCAGCAATAACATCCGCTAAACACGTGTACGTGGCAAATACAATTTGATTTGATTTGGAGAAATGCCGGGCTCAGGTAAGAGCTATTTTCCCATTGAAGCTTCAGTGGCCTACAAATGTGCTCATAGCCTCTCATGTTGCACTTTTCTTACCACTTAATTTTTTGAACATGTGAATTCATGTAATAAGGACATCGACTCCCTCTCACTCCCTCTCTCAATAGTAGGCCTAAAGTGTTTCAAAGAACACTATGTTTCAGCAAGACAGACGATGAACAACACAAGGTGGGGCGGCAGGTAGCTTAGTGGGTAAGAGCGTTGTGCCAGTAACCGAAAGGTCGCTGGTTCTAATCCCCGAGCCGACTAGGTGAAAAATCTGTCGATGTGCCCTTGAGCAAGGCACTTAACCCTAATTGCTTCTGTAAGTCGCTCTGGATAAGAGCGTCTGCTAAATGACGAAAATGTAAGGAAAGGCAACTGACAGAGACTAGATTAATTATTATTAATAATACGCATAACAATAACACAATGTTTTAGTTGTCAGTGTTTATTATGATTTTAGTGGCAAAGCAGAATAAAAACATCTAAATATGAGGTAAACTCCCAGCAGAGCCCCAAGTCCAATGGGTATATGTTAATGTTGATGTTAATGTGTTGATGTTCTCCGTATCCATAGGCAGAATGATTTTGTAGTGCATGGTGATTGAACAGGTTTCCTGTTATATTCATCAGAGGTGTAGGAAGGGGGAATCCAAAAAATAGTAATTATACAGATGTTTAACAAAACATGCACAGGACAGTATTCATACCTTGATTTTTTGTGGTAAATGTGAATGAAAAAAAACTGTTTTGATGATGGTTTTCATACACATACCTTGTCCATAATGTGG